CTACAAATCAGAATGCTTTTGTCCAATCTAAACAAAACTTACAGGATGTGTCCACATAAGAACCTCACACATACACTAAAAGTTTAATTGAAGTCGACCAATAGGGGGCGCTACAAATGCAAGAAATGGGCGTGACATAACACTAATTAATTAATTACTGTAAATGAGTACGAAAATGTTTGTCCAGTCATTACAAAACTCGCAAGATGTCTTCCATAACGATGTTAAACCTTGTGTGTGAAACAATTTTGAAATCGTAATATCGAAAAAAGGTTTGAACCCACAAATATGTCTATATTTTCTTTTTTTGGTTTCTGCAGCAACAGAAAGAAATACGGTGAACTTTTTACAGTGCCAGACTGATTATTTTAAAAAAACATAACTTAACAACTGATTACTAACGTGTGTTACGTTACAATACAAAGCAGTCGGAGTTCTCTAAAGCATTACATGTTACATGTTGAGCACATCGGCCCGTGCATGTTCAGTCTGCAGAGTCAGACGTTGCAGTATTGATGAGTCAGCAGCAGCTGAGCTCGTTGTAGCTTATGTGGATCATATTGTTTATTATCTGCACACAAGTTTCAGCTCTGACTATAGAACATGTGACGCTGCATCAGTCAGCTGTTTCATCTAAACACTGACACACACACACACACACACACACACACACACACACACACACACACACAGGCACCAGTTTGGACTCTGGGAACTAAAGACTGACGTTTGGAGCTCTGTTGATCCAATAAATCTATAAATCAAATGATCGACATGTGCAGCAGCAGCCACAGTGTGACAGTCAGCATGTGATGACGGTGTGATACAGAAAGTGTGTCACTCAGTATTCCTTGTTTTCAGTTTTTATTGTGGGTGCATCTACGTGTGTGTGAACGTGTGTGTACGTGTGTGTGAACTTGTGTACGTGTGTGTGTGTGTGTGTGTGGTTTCATGTTTGCTCAAACTCAAACAGGAATGTAAACAGCAGAGATCCACACACAAAAGATTGTTCTTCTTCTTCATCTGAACCGAGCGCCAAACAAACGCTTCTTTATGAAAACGATGATGACAAACTCTGGTTACCATGGTAACGGCAATCAGTCTGGGATCTGTTCAAATGAAAAGAGGAAACGTCAGCTGGGGGCAGCACGCTCCTGAAGACGCAACAGAAAGGATTTTCATGTTCTCCGCTCCTTTATTTGATTACATAATTCAAACAAGCCAATCAAAACTGCCCTTCAGTGTGATGTCACAACTGGGAAAGAAAACAACACTCATTTTTACTAGACGAGATGTTTATGGTCAAAAGTGCAGCGGAGGAGGAAGTACTCAGAGCCTTTACTGCAGTTAAAGTGTCAAATGTTACTGCAGTAAAAGTACTAATACCGCACTGAAAAAATATTATGTTAAAAGTCATGCATTCAAATGTGACTACAGTAAAAGTACTAATACTGCACCGTAAAATACTGTTACAAGTAAAAGTCCTGCATTCAAATGTTACTGCTGTAAAAGTACTAATACTGCACCTTAAAATACTCTGTTACAAGTAAAAGTCTTGCAGTGAAATGTTACTGCAGTAAAATGATGTGAATTTCATCAGTACTTACTGTATTAAAGCAGTATAATTTAGTTTGTAGGAGCTGCTGCTGCCTGTTCATATTTTACTGCTGTCATATTTCAGCATCGTGAGAGCCGAGCTGAGACAGACCGTGTTCACAACATTCAGCTCTGAGGGTCAGTCGAGTCAGCGTCTGGCGTCGTATCTGCAGCCATCAGGTGAGACGTTATCTTCCTGTTAGCACTCCTTTATCTTCCTGTTAGTGGCCCTCTGACACAAACAACCAGAAACATGTGAAGATCAACAAACATGGAGGCCGTCCTCTCTGACCCCTGAGTGTCTCCTTGACCTCTGACCCCCGCCCTGCTGGCTAGGTTTCTTTATTGACTTATCCTGAAACAGTAGATTTAGAAACGGTATATTCAGAGGTAGACTTGGACTAACTGTCATGGCAGATTCACCCACTGGAGATTTCAGTTTCTGTCACCTAAATGTGTCAAGCAGTTTGAAGTAATTGCGAAAACATGAACTTTTTCTTTCTCAGTTTAATCTACATGCTTCCACTGGATCAGTTTATGGATGAACATATTATTATGCAGACGACACACATCTTTACATAACCATAGAACCAGGGCACTGTAACACCATACAGGCACTGAGCATCTTGTTTCATTTTCCATTTAACTCATTTTAAAATTGTATTTATTTATTTGTTTACATTTCCCTGTGTTGCTCTCATGCTTTATGTAAAGCACTTTGAAGGACCTTGTTGTTGAAACAAACTGCATGAATAAACTTGAAACCTGAAAACAAAACTAAATTCTCAAAGTTAAACGTGCTATATTTACTAAAAATATCCCAGTGATGATACACTTGTGGTTTCCTATTGCGAAACGTGATTTTGAAGTTGAGCTTAAAAACTAAAGTTTTCTTTCGATTACCAAGTACAGGCCAGGACAGTACAAATACAAAGTGCGCATACATGGCCAAATACGCACACTGCAGTGCTTTCTGCAGAGATGTGACTCAGTGGTGTGATTAATTCTATAACATCAGAATAATGTGTAATATGATGAAGTAATACTGCGTGTGTGTATTACTATAGAAATAGATCATTTCATAAAACAGTGGTTAATATAGCATGGTGAAATATGAGTCCTACTTACTTTATGACAGACAAAGATTGAATATCCATCATTACTAAGTGTCGAGTTTCCTTTTCAAGGCCGGACCATGTAGTCCAATCCAACAGATGAGCTAATGTAGATTAAACTTCTGAAGAAGTTGATGAAAGGAGTCAGAACACAGAACATCACAGTGGAGTCCAGACCTCCACGGGTCAGGGCTGGTGTTGGCGGCAACAGGGAGAGAAACCCATGTTATAACCAACAGGTGGTCGTAATCAGTGTTTCCCATTAATTAGCTAGACTTTGGAGGCCCGCCACAGTCGAATTTGTTCCGCCATAGTTTTAAAACTCCTCTCATAATAACATGAAAGACCGCCAACATTGGGTTTTGCTCGCCGACTCGAGATAACCACTTTTCTTTTGAAGACACAACATGGTTTGAGGTCAGTACGGTAACGTTAGCTTAGGGTTTGAACAGCTTTGAGTGTTTCTGTCACTCATTTACGAGAACAGCTAGCTGCGGCTAAATTTGGAGTGCACACGTATTCCACCCTTTACCGTAAGTGAAACGGCCGAAAGCTTAGCGACTTCATCCTGTCAGTTTGTCTCTTTACAAAGACAAGTGTTGCAGTATGAGAGTCCTACCTGAAGAGAGGCTGTGAAGTCTTCATGTTACGCCGGACGAGAACATTATTTACCAAACTGGGTCGGACTGGATGAATTTAGCGCGAGGATACACGTCTGGTTTTTAAAATAAGGTGTTAACACAATAAGAAATAAGATTAACTGGATTATATTCACAGAATAAAACATGTCAGAAGTTGTCTATTAAAAGTTAAAAAAAACACAAAAATGTTGGGAAATAAATTTTTTTGGGTTGCTGGAAAAACATTTTTATCTGTCCGACGTGTTTATGATCAGATTGTTTAACAGGGCGCAACTGTGGTTAAATTAGAATTTTTATTGGACTGTTTGTATTTTAAATGTATTTTTTTTATAAAGCACTTTGATTGAAAGTGCTTTATAAATAAAAGTTCTTCTTCTTCTTCTTCTTCTTCTTCTTATTATTATTAAGATTGATTACAAGAGCGGAAGTTTTCACTGATCTAGCCTCTTTATTTTGATGTCAAAGTGCACCAGATTAATACATTTAGGTTTAGGTACAACATTTTCTTCCAGGGGGGCAACAATAACTGCTACTATCCAACTTTGCACTGTGGATACTAGGACTGATATTGCACAATATTTGTGCTATTGCACTGTTTTTAAATAATTTGTTAATTACTGTTTGACTTTTAAATTTAAATGGAATTATTTGTTTTTGTCTTGCATTCACCATGGGTCATGAGATAAACGCAGTTTCAATCCTCTGTGTGCCTTGCACATGGTAGAATTGACAAAGTTGACTTTAACTTTGATGCCCTGAACCCCCCCGAGACAGAGGGTTCAAGGTCCACCTGCCATTGTCTCACAAAATCCTGTGGGAAACACTGGTCGTAATGTTACAGCTGACCGGAGTATATGCTGCAGGCAGTATTGGCAGGTGACCTCATGTGGGAACCCCATAGAAACACATTTTGGGGTCCCCTGAGTCCCCTGAAACAGCTTTGTGTGCAGCTTTTACAGGGCCAACTTTTCAGGGAGACACAGTTTCCAGCATCCTTTCCTTGAAAGCACTGCACAAGTGAGAGACAGGCAGGCGGAGTCGACTGCGACGGATGTGATGGAGCTCCTGGAGAGCAGCGTCCTGGAGGACTTTGAGTGTACCTCGGCGAGTGGAGGTGGTTAGACACATGATGCTGTGTGTGTGTGTGTGTGTGCGTGAAAAGGCCACTGCTGACTTTTCAGAGTTTTTCCCAAACAGACACAAACAGGAGGAAAATGAGAAGCCCGCTTTTCTCCGTCAGCCCTTTTCGCTTCCCCTTTCTCCAGGAGGCCTCCTCGGCGGGGGAGAGGGGTGAGGAGTAGCCGTTAAACTGTGACTCACCCATCCTCCCTGCTCCTCCCTGCACCTCCTCAGTCTGTGGTTTTATATTCTGGACAGATGGACACATGTTTTCTGAGTGTTGATGTTTTCATTCGGTCTTTCCTTCCTAATTTATTGACACAACTCGAACTGAGCAGTGAAGAAACGTCCAGAACAACAGTCACTCTGCATTAAACTGTGAATTAAATACAGACCACCCTCCGTTTACCAAGCCGCTGAGCTACTGCTGGCCCAGACAATCCCAGCACACCTGAACTACCCACGGGCTCTGTCTATTTACAGGTGCATCTTTGCAGCTCATGAACAAACAGCTTGCAGGTATCTTGAATGCAGAGATTTATCAGGGTGACGTCCCTGCAGAATTTATTACAAAAGACCGATGTATTTATTTAGCTCGGCTAAAATGATCTTAACATTAAACCACCACCTGGTTTATGTTTGAATAAAGATGTCTGCTGTTTTGTTGGCCCTGCAGACCCCCCAGGTGTTCTCATTTCTGGTTGAATTTGTTATTATTATTATTTTATTTAAGCATTATTTAACCAGGGGTAAAGATAACATCTCTTTTTCAAGGGTGTCCTGGCCAAGAAAAGCAGCAGGACAGCAAGTCCAACAGTACAGACATATAAAAGGCCAACAATGCAATAAAAAATTATCAACCATATTACCTGAACACGTATTACGGAGGCCACTAACATAATGTGGTCATTTGCATACGGGGGCCTTATAGATAAAAATACACAAGGCTGCTCAGGTTAAATACAGGGAATCAGCCGAGGTCACTGAAGTCCATGCTGACAGCATCTCTCTCTGTGGCTTCACTCAACAGTCCAACAGACTTTCCCCACTGCACTACCAGCTGGGTGTCCATGTCTGCACATACCTCCTAAAAGAAAGGAAAATATTTTTCTTATTTTAAGAAATTCTTACAAATGAGAGTATACTTTCTTACATAGATTCAAATTCAGCATACCTACCAGGAATTTACTTTATGGTGGTCCTTAAAGCTCCAATCTGCAATAAACGGAGAAGTAACAACCTTTTCTGCTTGTATTTTTAACCTGTGACTACACATGCAGGTACGTCCAGCACAGCAGAGGTAAAACACACAGTCCTGTGGATCTAATGGTCACCTGTGCAGGTAGACAAGGCTGCTTGTTCAGTGTCAACGAACATCACTGCTTCTAAAGTTTCAAAAGAATAAAACGAGAAATAGGGGAAGCTGTGGCTCAGGAGAGCGGGTATGTACTGTATGTGTACTGTATGTGTACTGTATGTACTGTATGTGTACTGTATGTGTACTGTATGTACTGTATGTGTACTGTATGTGTACTGTATGTGTACTGTATGTACTGTATGTACTGTATGTGTACTGTATATGTACTGTATGTACTGTATGTGTACTGTATGTGTACTGTATGTGTACTGTATATGTACTGTATGTACTGTATGTACTGTATGTGTACTGTATATGTACTGTATGTGTACTGTATGTACTGTATGTACTGTATGTGTACTGTATGTGTACTGTATGTACTGTATATGTACTGTATGTGTACTGTATGTACTGTATGTACTGTATGTGTACTGTATATGTACTGTATGTGTACTGTATGTACTGTATGTGTACTGTATGTGTACTGTATGTACTGTATGTACTGTATGTACTGTATGTGTACTGTATATGTACTGTATATGTACTGTATGTACTGTATGTGTACTGTATGTACTGTATGTGTACTGTATGTGTACTGTATGTGTACTGTATGTACTGTATGTGTACTGTATATGTACTGTATATGTACTGTATGTACTGTATATGTACTGTGTGTACTGTATGTGTACTGTATGTGTACTGTATGTACTGTATGTGTACTGTATATGTACTGTATGTGTACTGTATACAGTATGTACTGTATGTGTACTGTATGTACTGTATGTGTACTGTATGTGTACTGTATGTGTACTGTATGTGTACTGTATGTACTGTATGTGTACTGTATATGTACTGTATGTGTACTGTATATGTACTGTATGTACTGTATACAGTATGTACTGTATGTGTACTGTATATGTACTGTATGTGTACTGTATACAGTATGTACTGTATGTGTACTGTATGTACTGTATGTGTACTGTATGTGTACTGTATGTACTGTATGTGTACTGTATATGTACTGTATATGTACTGTATGTGTACTGTATATGTACTGTATGTACTGTATGTACTGTATGTGTACTGTATGTGTACTGTATGTACTGTATGTGTACTGTATGTGTACTGTATATGTACTGTATGTGTACTGTATACTGTATGTGTACTGTATGTGTACTGTATGTACTGTATGTGTACTGTATGTGTACTGTATGTACTGTATGTGTACTGTATGTGTACTGTATGTGTACTGTATGTACTGTATGTACTGTATGTACTGTATGTGTACTGTATGTGTACTGTATATGTACTGTATGTGTACTGTATATGTACTGTATGTACTGAGAGCAGTAAGCTAACGCTAACCAGTTTTTCCACAAATAAAAACACACTTCAAACACATGATCCCTGCAGTCGCAGAGCTGCTGACACGTCTCGTGTCACGTTATTGACACAAACGATCCCACAGATACACACTGAGACTCCAGCTGTGTAAACACATCACTGTACGACCAGAACGCACGGGATCAACTGAGAGAATAACAATAACAACAAACGTACGTTTATACATTTACAAGCTGGATTGTGTCTTACCTTCGCAGTTTCTGCAGGTTTAGTCACATAAGACAACTACTGTTTACTACTGCGAGGCCCAGGCGCCATCTTGGAATCATTTGCATAACATTGGGAAGGCCCTGCTGTAGGCGGGGCTACAAAGTTCCGCTCGAACACACGGTCGCCACCTTGTGGCTGACTCGTAGTGCTGAGACCCATGAGGGCTTTTAGTCTCCGTGTATCTGCCTGTACAGCATGGGGCTCTTTGGTCATCAGAAAATGAATTGTGTGTATTTATATTTCATATTTCATTTTTTAAAACAAATCTCCCAGTAAACAGTCAACATGGAAATAGTAAACATGGCCAAAACAGAGAGCCCGCCTGAGTATGTCTTTAGTAATAGCTTCATAAATTTTGTATTTTAGTGTCTTTTAATTAAAAATTTTACAGGTGTCTTGTTATAATCCTGACATTGGCTTTGAAATTTTGATTTTATCTGAGGTGAGGATGCAGTTTGTTGTTTCCTGGAGGTAGTGTTAGAGGTTAAAGAAGGAACAGAAACAGTTTGAGGCTCCATCCACACCCCTAGGTTTTTGTTTAAAAAGGCTTCCGCCCAAAAAACTATAACAATCAGCTGCAACAGAGCCTTACTCAACACGAATGTCTGGTAACCAGCAGATCCAACTCTACATACATGTACATCACATAGTGGGATATTTATGTGAACAGGATGTGAACATTATGCAAACTTCTAAATGTAAAACCTAAGATTACATCAGAGGAACAAAGTGGGGTTTCCTTTCCCGAAGTCTTCGCCCAGTATCTCCTCTGTTCTTTGTCTTCTTCTCTCTGATGATGAACCAACATCCGCAGGTTGGACTCTTTGTCCTCTGACTCACGGCGGTGTCTCCGTTGCTTCAATCTCACATTTACACACTTGTGAAAGCCTCCTGAACGACTCCACCTCCTGACATGTGAACATGCTTATTGTTAAATCACACTAAGAACACTCACCCAGATGCAGAACACTGCTGCTACACCAGAGTCTGTGTGGAAAAACACAGTTTTAGATGCAGAACACTGCTGCTACACCAGAGTCTGTGTGGAAAAACACAGTTTTAGATGCAGAACGCTGCTGCTAACCCAGAGTCTGTGTGGAAAAACACAGTTTTAGATGCAGAACGCTGCTGCTACACCAGAGTCTGTGTGGAAAAACACAGTTTTAGATGCAGAACGCTGCTGCTACACCAGAGTCTGTGTGGAAAAACACAGTTTTAGATGCAGAACGCTGCTGCTACACCAGAGTCTGTGTGGAAAAACACAGTTTTAGATGCAGAATGCTGCTGCTACACCAGAGTCTGTGTGGAAAAACACAGTTTTAGATGCAGAACACTGCTGCTACACCAGAGTCTGTGTGGAAAATCAGTTTTAGATGCAGAACGCTGCTGCTACACCAGAGTCTGTGTGGAAAAACACAGTTTTAGATGCAGAACACTGCTGCTACACCAGAGTCTGTGTGGAAAAACACAGTTTTAGATGCAGAACACTGCTGCTACACCAGAGTCTGTGTGGAAAATCACAGTTTTAGATGCAGAACACTGCTGCTACACCAGAGCGTGTGTGGAAAAACACAGTTTTAGATGCAGAACACTGCTGCTACACCAGAGTCTGTGTGGAAAATCAGTTTTAGATGCAGAACGCTGCTGCTACACCAGAGTCTGTGTGGAAAAACACAGTTTTAGATGCAGAACGCTGCTGCTACACCAGAGTCTGTGTGGAAAAACACAGTTTTAGATGCAGAACACTGCTGCTACACCAAAGTCTGTGTGGAAAATCACAGTTTTAGATGCAGAACACTGCTGCTACACCAGAGTCTGTGTGGAAAAACACAGTTTTAGATGCAGAACACTGCTGCTACACCAGAGTCTGTGTGGAAAAACACAGTTTTAGATGCAGAACACTGCTGCTAACCCAGAGTCTGTGTGGAAAAACACACTTTTAGATGCAGAACACTGCTGCTACACCAGAGTCTGTGTGGAAAAACACAGTTTTAGATGCAGAACACTGCTGCTACACCAGAGCCTGTGTGGAAAATCACAGTTTTAGATGCAGAACACTGCTGCTACACCAGAGTGTGTGTGGAAAAACACAGTTTTAGATGCAGAACGCTGCTGCTACACCAGAGTCTGTGTGGAAAAACACACTTTTAGATGCAGAACACTGCTGCTACACCAGAGTGTGTGTGGAAAAACACAGTTTTAGATGCAGAACACTGCTGCTACACCAGAGTCTGTGTGGAAAATCACAGTTTTAGATGCAGAACACTGCTGCTACACCAGAGTCTGTGTGGAAAATCACAGTTTTAGATGCAGAACACTGCTGCTACACCAGAGCCTGTGTGGAAAATCACAGTTTTAGATGCAGAACACTGCTGCTACACCAGAGCCTGTGTGGAAAATCACAGTTTTAGATGCAGAACACTGCTGCTACACCAGAGTGTGTGTGGAAAAACACAGTTTTAGATGCAGAACACAGTGAGAGATGATTCGTTTATATTCCCTGGATAACTTTCTTTAAAAGGAATAAAGAACAGATGTATTTAAGTTGTCATCATTTGATAATGGGCCTAAAATAATTACCACTCCTTCAGATTTGGGGATATACTTCTGTGTAATTATAGCTGACTGGATTATTTCCATCAAAATGAAAGTAGAAAGACAGCGTCATAATTAAAATGTCATTAAAAGACGTTACTGTGCCACACATCAGAACTACAGATCCTCTGTTCTACTGTATGATAAAATACCTCACTATTTTTAAGATATCGTTCTACTACATCTGTCTTCTAAAGGCAACCTGACCTGAATTTGACTTGTTGACAGTGTTTGTCCTACAGAAACAGAGAAGAAGACATCTGAAGCACATGATAGAATGAGGCATTATAAACCAATCAGAATGAATACTCCTGCTCAAGCTAACTAGCTTAGCATATTTCAGTACTCACCATCTCAGGTGAAGTTACCTGAAATTACACATTATTCCTAAATAATCAAAATATTTAAGTATTTTTTCTAACATCTGAAATGAAAATATATAAATGGGATTTTAAGTTTTAGGAGTCAACAGTGTTACAGAGAAAATGCACATCTGTCGGACTGCACGGATCAGCTGCTTTCATGGGTTTCAGGCAGATCAGCTGCTGCAGTTCAGAGTCGATCTGGGATTTCTGCCATTCCACAATTATCATTTCGGGCCAGAACCAACAGAAACACGGAGCTGGTTCCAAATCCTGAGGGGACGTTTGTGGGATCCAGAAATGTCTT